TGACATTTGTAAACCGCGATAGTTCATGATTGTAAAAAGTAGCCCTTATTTTTTGACCAAACTATGGAAACCTCACGACCAGAAAAGATACCTGCCGAAACCAACTGGACCTATTTATAAGATGTTTGATTCAATTGACCCAACTTGTAAGCATTCGTGGCCTTAATGGGAGTTCACCCACCTCCAGTACGGAAGGCTTCATTATGACCGATACTCTACTACTTTAAACCAAGCGTAGACAGCAGGATTTATTGATTTAATAAAATTTATCGAGAGTTTTTCGACTGCAGCCCGTCGTTGCATGAGTGAGATACCGGTAAGAAGCATACAGAAAATTAAATTTCGCAGAACGTCACTGTATACCTGCAAGGGTCATAGCTCAGTGTAAATAATAATCAGCTGAAGGAAAGTACATTAAATCTGTCGAAACGTAGAAAAGGGGGAGAGGAAGTAGACGCGAACCATGTCTTGATTAAAACTGGCTACCCGATTCCCATGATAATTCGAAATTGACCATATGGTCTAGCTGCTAGCACAGGTAGGGTTTCTCCCGCCGTATGAAGGCCGCTTTCAGGTAGCAGAGGGTCCGAGTTGTTCGTGACCGAACTAGTACTCGCCTTTGCAGCTTACTTGGTAGAGCGTTGGCTGTACTCAAACCTCCCCTGCTGATGTGGGTTCAAATCGCCTCGAAGCTACGAAGTTTTAACATTTGGATTAGTTGAATTATTCTTTGACACAAATTCGGAAAGGATGGTGGATCACGTTCCTAGTGCTTGAGTGGCAGTAAGAAATGCCTTTACTGTCTGATGTTTCGGAATATCATCTAGATTTCGGGTACCTGTATTCGAGAATAACTAAGTGATCGGATTTATTTATTCCATATTTGACTGTTTTGACGTAGGTGATTTTGGAAGCGGACATAATTCAACAGTAGCATATTTTTCAAATGCACTAAAAAGAAGAAAGTTCGAGATTGGCTAGTAATCGTTTAAAGTCAGGAAAACCATAGATTTAATTTAATTAGAAATGCAGGATATTGTAGCACATTAGCCAGACGCAAAAGCGGAGGAACAACGTGAGTCAGCAAGGAATTGATCAGCAGTGTTTCTACATAGTTCTTTCTTTCACAAACGCCTTCTGGTCCTGCAATTTAAGGGCTGCCTTGGTCACTGCTTGTTTTGCGAGGATTTCTAATGATCACATACATTGGAGTTATTAAGCCATAGTCCTAAAGCGTCCGGCCTCAGCTTTAGAGTGCTATAAAAATTTGTGCAGTTATTTGCAGAAAGTCTCCCTTCAAATGACGGTTTTGTGCGAACGGCAAGTTTATGTCTGCTGGGAAATAACTTGGACCGAGTAAATAAGAAGACCGGCTTGACAATGGAACCGTTTATTTCTTTTTCTGAGCTTTCGAACTCAAGCAGTAGACCATCTTCAGAGACGACACCGACAGCAACAAGATGATGACGGTTACAGGGGGCACAGGCCAGTCAAGTACCTATGATTAGATTCTGGTGGGAACTGCGTAGGGCTCTGTACGCTGGCGTCAAATCAATACATCGATTGATTGAGTTTCCATCTATGAAACAGGCTTCACTTTATTCTCGGCTCGTTTTGTTTCCGACGTCGGTGACTATCATGACGGCTGCCAGATTGGAATCATGGCCCGTTTCGTAGGGGTGGACGGAAACTTCTGATAATTCACTGCCCCGTTGCACAACCAGCTTATGTTCAGGAATACGCGATCCCAGCATGCGTTGCGTTTGACCTGTGTAATGATAAGGACTGTTTGGAAGTCTTTGACTTTCATAACCCTGCCGCGCAAGCAAGCCTTGGGCCGATGTGAAATTCGACACCCTGTCCCACAGCGATATACCAAATCGCTTATGTATGGCATAGCATGCCCTTTCCCCGGTGATATTTCCGTTTGGATCGTCCAAGGCCGAACGCGTAGGAACCTGTGCGATACCGACTCACCAGCCCGGAAGTGTTCCAGCATGAAGTCCTGCCAACTCTATGCAAATCAGAGATTCGCATCTTCCTTTATGCTTCTGAAGTGTCTCTACTTCCACTTTACAGTCATTTATATCGGATCCTTTTTGACGGATCCATGTGATGTGACTAATAATGACCCCCTGAATAGATTTCTATCTTGCCCTAGCGAAGTAAAATACCCTTTCGGACGTCCTATTGCGTCACTGTGGGAAACATTCTGGGGTCAGTTGGTGAACACCTGACGAAAGCCACACCTTGTTGGACTGGGTTCGTTGTTTCGCCCCACGACAGTACGTAACTGACTGATTCCTTAACGAGCATCCATCATTGGGATTCTGTTTCGCTTACAGACCCGTTCGATCAGCAGCGGAAG